TGAAAAGAGCAACAGTACAAAATTAGAACTTTTTGGACCTGCTAATAAATGAGGGATTTTGTATATTAATAACCTCTCAGGAAAAAAAGTGTCCGAACGAGTTCGGGAAAAAACTGCGTTCAGATAGCTGGGACTGCAGCTGGATGCGAGGAGCGCAGATAAGGGGAATCTGGCATACCTGAGCTCGGTGTGTGACTGCATTTCGCTAACAGCAAAGTTTTCTTTAAACAAAAAATTCAGCGATACAGAGCTACTGATGGAACACAAAACACATGCACATAAAAATCAACAAGATCAGCATTATCACCGACGAACCCCGAAACAAGCTATGACGGCCAATTTAGTGCCCGAATGAAGTCACAGAGAACCAAAAAATAAAGAAAAACAAGCTCGCTCTCATCATCGATTAAATGATGGTTTGTGCTGAGAGAGCTTAAAATTTACCGAAAATAACACCAGCAATCACGACAATTAAACAAAAACATAAACCGCACAACGATTCAAAAATGCTACGAGGCAAAATTGCCAAAAAATAAGTCAAGTTTCATTCAAATCTTCATCAATCGTTGTCTTTTCCACATACTCGAAACCGTTAAGAGCAGCTTTTATAGCCATCAATTTCTCTTCCAATTTCACTTCCAAGTTTTCATCGCCTTTCTGCTGCATCTTTGTAATGACTAGTTTCTGTGCGCTCGTTAGCAAATCCGAGAGTTGCGCCGTTGTGTCTGGATACTTTTCCACCTGGAACAGAGAAATTCTTCACCAAAAAAGCAACAGTTTTCTACCAACAACAAACAATACGAGTTTTTTTCATTTTCTGGATACTTTCCTGCTACCGGACAAAGCGTAGTAACAAGAAGCAAGATTCTTTATTCGTTTCAAATTCACACATACACATCACAGAGAGCTCAAAATGCTATCAGCATGCTTTTAAGCAACTCTCAGAACAGGAAGTCACTGTCAGTCTTATCAGCACGTAGCTGTTGCTACGCAAGCACTACCCCTCGAGCTACTTCCATCTTCCAGAGGAAGAAGCTAGTGTGGATGTTACTTAATTAAATACTTCAGCGTGTAACAGTATTCTACCAGGTTCTCACTTTCCCTTTTCCCCAATATTTTAAATCAGTCCAGTAAATTATTTAATTTGTGAAATCGTTGCTGTTAAAATATCATTTTCTTAATCTTTCACTTCTGAGTGCTTTCTATCAGAGCAATGCAAGGGAACTTTGATGTTATAGATTTATACATACGCCTCCGGATCGAAGTAACAATTTTCAAAAGCTACCTTTGAAATCAAATGAGAAACAAATTTTCCCGAAGCATGCACAGCACTTTTTTCGCTTCTTGCTATCAGTATTAGAAGTGCCAAAAGTAGGCCAGTAGCTAAATCGGTACAGTCCCGCAACTGATGCATCAACTCTGTTTCATAAGCCTTGATCAAATCCGCGCTACAAAAAGAACTGTTTTAGCAGAAAGGCAAAAATATTGATAAAATCATGAATTCTGGAACAGAGGCAGCAAAGAGCATAAGAAATTCGTTTTTCATCAAACCACTCAAACCGCCAAACTTCATCTATATCAGTCTCTACTGCAAAACCGAGGCAGCTTGTATTTATGTCAAAAAAGTACCGCTGTGCTAATGCATACAGGGCTGCTGCTGATGGTTTCTCATATGTGGACAAATGAATCTAGCCCAAAATCAGCCGCCGAGATTCTTGCAAAGCCGAATAAGCAATGTTAATGAAAAAGTTTCTGAACTGCATTAATAAGAACATACCGACAATTTTTGTCAGGTGCTTTCAAATTTAATGCGCATACAGCTGATGAGCAAACAACGGATACAGCATCATGGAAAGACTCCAAATCTTTGGCTGATAGCGCCATAAATAAGCCCTCAATGGCCAAACGGCATTCCGCGCTTTCGATTTTAGCAACTGCTTCATTTCGTGCCTAAGCAATGGCTCAGAGATAAGAAGCAGTAAAGAATTTCCCGAGCAGCCAGGGGAGATCCCGTATTAGTGCTGTTATTGAGAAGTCCCTCACGCTGAGCGCAAATTGTACTAATCTTCAATTCTCAGCTGAATGCTTCCAATTAGTGCATATCGTATTATATTCGAGCACCTCTTCAACAAGTCACTAGAGCGATCTTTTGTTTTCTCGCGCGAATGCCGCTCACTAAGGCGCAACGTCTACCAGTTGTCAATAAGGCAAGCAACATCCCCTGCCCGTCATATTCTATTCTCTGGCATGGTTACAGCAATATATTGTACGTAACAGAACACTAGAACGATCATTTAGAAATCTATAACAATAACCTTTGTGGCAAGCGCACTAGCATTGTCCGTTCCAGCCAGATAGGATAACACATTATTTGCAAAATTTGTACACAATGTTCGAAGCAGGTACATTCTGAGCTTCTCAGCAACACTGCCTAAATGTCTTATTTTCTAAAAATATAGTACATACGACTTGGAAACGTTATCGTTAGCGCCAACAGCGAGGACGAATTATTAATACGTGCCCCAGATGTAACTCCAAGCAGCCAAATTTTTGAATTTTGCACTTAAAAAATAAGGCAATTACTAGAACACGGCTCGGCTCGGCTCGGTCACGCTCAACAGAAATTCCCGTTCTTGTTGCCTGTTGCAGCGTTACAGCGCGCGCACCTGAAGTTCGTTTTCCCTCTTCCACTATTGATTCATTCAAAAAAGGAAAGATATCCGCGATGAATCAAAATTTAGAACCAAAATCCGGTAACCTCACAGCCTTCACTTTCCTTGAGAGGCCGAACCAATTGGAATTAGAAG